TTTTAAAAAGATGAGAGGTGGGGGCCTAAAAAACATACAAGGGTTCTGTACTGAATGCTTCACTGGATTCTTTCTCCCTCTTCAGGGAAACTGGAAATTGTAGGGGATGCATTACGGGTGAATGTTATGCAAGAAAAATAGCATAGAACTCGCCAGCCAAAAAAGTCCTGTCGGCCCTAAATCAAAAGTTCAGTGGCTCTGAAAATACTGTTCATAGCAAATGATTGTGGGCTTGGACGTGAGGGAAGTCACAATAAAAGTCATAACGCCTGTTTCTTTATAACGTAAGTTGTTGGTTTTAAGTGCTATCCATCGGCTCTCAGCCATTGAGGATGGGGAATCATTACTGTTATTCTATCTACTGCCCTCCTGTTCTCCCCTGTGTCTTCCTAATGTTGGTGCCTTGTCAGGGCACAGCACTGACATTCTGTCGTCACTCTCACCGCCTTTAGTCTTAGTCCTCCCAGTATGTGGACTCACTGCTCACCACCCGTCCTTCTGCCGGCAATTTCCCAGTCACCCCTCGGCTGCCAGAAGTGCGTCCTGTAGATCCTCCAGGAGGACCCGCGGGAGCAGTGGTTCCCGCTGTTCACTCCTGGTTGATGATCAACGCAGTATAATATACTCTGCTCATACTTTTTCTCCTTGGGCATTTTGTAGGTATTGTTCCTTTTTCTGCTAGAATTTTACTGTGGAAATTTTCAAGATTTGCCCCTCTTTTTTTTTTTTTTTTTTTATCCTCACCGGGGATATGTTTATTGAAAGAGAGAGAGAGAGAGATATCAGTTGCCTCTTATATGTGCCTTGACCGGGATTTGAACCCACAGCCTTTTGGTGTGTGGGATGATGCTCTAACCAACTGAGCCACCCAGCCAGGGCAGATACTGCCCCTCTAAGTGATTTGATCTCTTGCCCACAAGGTCTGGCGCTGCCTGTGGAGGGTCAGTTTTCCCTGGGACCCACGGTGTCCTTTGGCATGTAGCTCCTCTCGTATCCCAGCTACGCCCTCAGGTCTATCTTTATGGAATCTTTATGAACAAGTCGCTGTATGTTTATGGAATCTTTATGAACAAGTCACTGTGCCGGAAGCCGGTCCATCCTTGCTGCTTGACACAGTCGCTGCAGGAAAGAAACATCTGCACAGCATATGTTTCAAGGGACCTGGCATATATAGCATACTGTTCTTAATATGTTTGCTCTCCTTAGCGCCATGTGTTTTAACCAAGGTCACCTCTCTGAGAAAGGTTGTTTCCCCAGGTGGGGATTTTTCCCTGAGGTTAGGGAGGGGATACAACCCCTTAATTAAGTGCCAGGCGGGTAGTTAAGCTACATAATCTTTACTCCCTGGAATGGAGATAAGAAACGCCCTAACCTTTGTAATAGAAATTGACAGGATTAAAATCAACTCGGAAGAAGACTGGCAAGCAATGACAATAAGCATAAATACAGATGTAACAAGACAATAAACATCAGATCCTAACCAGAACTTGGCCAGAACTTCACTGGAGATCCTGGCTAGAGATCCTGGCTAGGCTGCTGATCAACTGAAGGCTGTCTCCGTGTCATTCCTTCTTCGCCGACTCCGTCCACACCTTTGGGGACCCCTGGACCTGCTGGGGTTGGACCCCAGCATCACTGTATATTTATGGAATCTTTATGAACAATTCGCTATGTATTTATGGAATCTTTATGAACAAGCCGCTATATATTTGTCCATTTTAGTTTCGGGCATGTGTTGCGTCTCCTTAGCTGTCTTCTGTAACTTGTTTTCTCTCTGTTCCTTTCAACTATTTTTTCTTTGTTTCAGTTTACTTGCTGTTTTTCATTGCTCTCCTTTTTCGCTCCTTGCTGTGTGATCAGCAGCTCTCCTCCCTGTCTTTCCTTGCGCGTCCACCTTCGTTTCTGCACCTTTTTCTGAGCTGTGCTGGTGGGCGTCTTCTTACCTCCCTGCTTAGCCCATAAGCTCTTGCTTGCATCTCTGCTTTGAGCTCTTGCTTCCGAGTTTTCTTTTTTTTTAAATTTTGCAAAATATTTTATGACAATTTTATCTGCCCCGCGGCAGTGTTTTCCCAAGGTGTGGTGTGAGTCTGCCTCTTTGCTTTCCTGTTTCTTTCCTCATTGTTTCTTGTGAGTCTTTCTATAAATCCTTTTTTATAACTCGTCTTTAAGTAGGTGAGTTTTCAGGGGCCGGCTGTTTGCAGAACGCTTGATTGGGGAGGTGTCAAGTCTGTGTTCCCGGCTCGCGGCAGTTCTCACGGTGTGGGATTCTGGGTGAGTTCCCTTACCTGTGTTCTCTCCGGCCAACAGGCAGGCACCGTGCGCTTGCCCACAGTGCACGCCTGTCGTTTCTGCAGCCGCAGAGACCGGCTCTGGGAGGCACACAGAGCTTGCACGTGTGGTTTCTCAATTCGCCTCAGCTCCAGCTCCAAGGAAGCTCTGTCGTCCAAAAACAAGGAATCTGTTTGCTCCCAGAGGGTGTGCCCCCTACCTCCAGGAAGTGGATTTGTGCCGTTTCTCTGAGCTTCCCAGCCTGTGTTCTCTCTCCGTAGCATCCTTTCGTACTTTCGTGCTCTGAAGGAGAAGAGCCCTTGCATTGAGCTCCCTGCTTTTGGGGGCGTGGACTTCTTCCTAGTGTTGTTGAAAACGGAGTTTGCATTTTTATTTATTTCTCCTTTTTGCACTTTGCACTGATAACGTTTTTGAATAGCATTTAAAAGTTACGAGTTCGCCAGAGTGGATGGAGCGTCGGCCTGCGGACTGGAGGGTCCCAGGTTCGATTCCGGTCGGGGGCATGTACCTGGGTTGCGGGCACATCCCCAGTGGGAGGTGTGCAGGAGGCAGCTGATCGATGTTTCTCTCTCATCGATGTTTCTAGCTCTCTGTCTCTCTCCCTTCCTCTCTGTAAAAAAATCAATAAAATATATTTAAAAAAAAAAGTTACGAGTTCATGATGCAGTGTTCATATCAGAAGTCTTAACTGCTGTTGTCTATTAGCCAACGGCTGGTCCTGTATTAGGCCTTTCATACCTTCTCCATGAAGCCTCCCACCACACTGCCACCCGCCTTCTAAGCACAAGGAATACGCTGCTCAGACTTAGAAAAGGCCGGTCACTCAGTGCGCCTGCTCTGCCCGGGGCACTGTTCGGGCCTTGGGGATAAAGCGTGGAAAAATTCCTACAAGATCCTTGGCACAGCAAAGGCAAGTCTTAAGCGATTCCATGTGGACGAGGGATGAGCAGAGGGAAGGCATTTGGGATTTCGAGGAAGTGTGGTGGGAAGGGTAGACTGTGAGCTCTGTGGCCAGGCCGCCTAGATTCAACGCTCAGTTCTGCTGCGAATACACGTGACATTGGGAGGATCCATGTGTCCGTTTTCTCATCTATAAAATAAAGATTGCATTGTCTTGGGTGGATGTTGTGATATTAAATAAGTAGTATATTGCCCTGGCCGGTTTGGTTCAGTGGATAGAGCGTCGGCCTGCGGACCAAAGGGTCCCAGGTTCGATTCCGGTCAAGGGCACGGACCTTGGTTGCAGGCTTCTCCCCGGCCTGGGCCCTGGTTTGGGCTCCTGCAGGAAGCAGCCAATCCATGTGTTTCTCTCACATTGATGTTTCTCTCTGTCTTTCCCTTTCTCTTCCACTCTCTCTAAAAATCAATGGAAAAATATCCTCGGGTGAGGATTAAAAAATAATAATAATAAAAATAAAAGATACTTTAAAAAAATAAAATAAGTCGAATATACAGTGCTCAGCAGGTAGTGGATGTTCCACCGGTACTGCTTCACCGTGAAGACGGTGCGCTAAACAAACGGATTAATGCTAGGAAGATAGGTGTGGAGACCTGTTATTTTCTATTGTGGTGAAATTTACCCAACGTGAAGTTTACCGTCTTTGTTTTCAAGTGCAGTTCAGCAGTATTAGGTGCATTCGCTGTCTTGTGCATCCATCTCAGAACTCTTTTCATCCTGCAGAACTGAAACTCCGCCCATCAAACAGCAACCCCCCATGCCCGCCTTCCCCCAGCCCTGGCAACCCTAAGGGCTACTCATCCTTCTGGACTTGCCCGCCTGGTCCCCCAATATTTCCTTTCCTTTTTGGAAAGGGTTTTGTTTTGCTTTGTTTTGTATACTACTTCTGCCTCCATGATTTTGACCACTAGGTGCCTCATAGAAATGGAATCATACTGTTTGTCCTTTGGTGTCTGGCTTATTTCACTCAGCTTCGTGTCTTTAAGGTTCATCCATGTTGTAGCAGGTGTGAGAATTTTCTTCCTTTTTAAGGCTGAATTATAGTCCATTGTATGACTATGCCACATCTTGTTTATCCACTCATCTATGGATGGATGTCAATGAATGATGATAATGTAAGGAACGCCGTCATTATCTATTTAGGTTCCACTGTGTGTGGGCACCAGGTTATCCTGTTCAGTCTTTGCCACCATCCCGGAAGCACTGAAAGGATAACGTGGCCCTGACCGGTTTGGCTCAGTGGATAGAGTGTCGGCCGTGGACTGAAGGGTCCCGGGTTCGATTCCGATCAAGGGCATGTATCTTGGTTGCGGGCTCTATCGATGTTGCGGCTGATCAATGTTTCTCTCTCATTGATGTTTCTAACTCTCTATCCCTCTCCCACCCTCTCTGTAGAAATCAATAAAATATATTTTAAAAAAGAAAAAAGGCTAGCGTGCCCAGGTTTACAAGCTAACAACAGAGCAGAATTTATCCAGGGTCTGCCCGGCCTCAGAGCCCCTGCTCTCAGCACCGCCTCCCTGCCTTGAGTGTGGCCAGGCACCTCTACCCCTGCTCCTGGGAGATTCATGTGTGACGTGTGTGCACGAGGGAAGCCCCTGTGGCCTCCCTTGAGAGGTGGATGACCCAGGGGCTTCCTGTCTGTTCGGGGGCTGGTGTCCGTCCCACGGCCCTGCCGCTGCAGGAGCGCCCGCAAGGCTCCCACGCTAACTGCCCACCGTGCTCTGACCCTTCTCATGTCTGCTCCCCCTCTAGGTGCACTACATCCTGCAGGAGGTGGTGATGGGAGGGATGGTGTTGGAAACAAACATGAATGAAATCGTGGCTCAGATCGAAGCTCAGAACAGGCTGGAGAAATCGGAGGTGAGCGCACAGCTGTCCTGGCCCGTGTGTGCCTGCGGAATGTTTTACACTCCTTTCTTCCTTGGTCCATGAAAGCTCATTGATCTGAAGGCCAGGTAAGAAGGAGGCAAAAAGTGTGCATGGAAAAGCCAGATAGCACCGGAAGGCAAACAGCTGCAGGGGGCTGTGGCCTATGTTTGTGGCTTGTAATTCTTCCTCTCAAAGCCACACGTTCAGGGCCCAGCACCCCTTCTCCTATTGCAGTGTGGTTTCCTAGTTTGTGTGCCAGAGGAGTCTGATCTCCCAGCAGCCATTTCTCGCGGTGTTTTTCAGACCTCAGGTCGCCAATGTCCGTATTTACAGTTACAGCCTTATGACAAGCTACAGGAGCGATCGAGCTGGGTTTGAAAATAACATGCCCCAGTCCACCCCCACGTGGTGCACATGCTCCCAGGAAGTCTGTCCAGTCCCCACTGGGCCCCTCCATCACCTCCAACCGCCTGGCAGGGGCCCACCTTCACGCGCTGCGAAATCGCGGGGCAAATGACCGCTTTAATTTCCCCAGTGTCGGAGGCAGCTTCCTTGCTTTGGGTAACAGAACTTGATCTTGCGAAACCAGGAATTCTTGTTTCTGTGAGGACTGGCAGTCCTGCTGAGGAAGCTTTTCCAGACCACAGCTATTGTGGCAACCGTAGTTCTAGAAATGCAGGCTGGGACGGTTCCAGGAATAGTAAGTGACTCAGAGGCGAGCGGGCTGGGAACCAGAAGAAACGGAGACTTGCGGGGCGAGGGTGGAACCGAGGGTGAAATGGGACTCAGGATCTAGAAGGCAGACGATGAGGAGGAAATGGTTTTCAGTCTTTGTCAGTCTACTCCCCCCTCTCTGCGCAGCAGGCGACAGCCTGGAGGGTGAAGGTGACCGTAGGTGCCTTGACTGCTTGGGTCTGTGACCAGTCCTGCGGGTGTGGGTCCACCGACCTCCTGCTGGTCCTTCCTCCCATCTGGCTGCCCATGACGTTGCGAAAGCCTGTTCTTTTCCATCTCACATTCTTAGTTGGCAAGCAGGTGCCCTAAGCAGTGACATTCGTTTTCCTTTTAAAAATTTCCCCGTGACTGCACTTGTTTATAAGAGTCCTCAGTCTCCTGAGGAAAGGGTTTTGCTTTGTTTTGTAACCTGAAAAGTGCCTGCTACCGAGTGTGACTTAGTTAAACCATCTCGGATTATTTCCGCAAGCATTTATCGAGCACCGACCGTGGGCCAGGCATGTGAAGTACTGGGGCTGTAAAGATACCTAAGCAACAGCCTTCAGGAGCTCAGGGTCTGGACCCCTATTACCATAGCGCCAGGTCACCTGCAGATTGTTTTGTTGGCTGGCTTCGAGGACGGGGGGAGGCAAAGCTTGCCTTGTGTGTGCTCAGGCTGGACATTTAAAAATGTATACACACACACACACACACACACACACACACACACTAGAGGCCCAGTGCATGAAATTTGTGCACTGAGGGGGGGATGTCCCTCAGCCCAACCTGCACCCTCTCCAATCTGGGACCCCTCGGGGGATGTCTGACTGCCTGCCGGTTTAGGCCCGATCCCACAGGCATTCGGACATCCCTCTCACAATCCGGGACTGCTGACTCCCAACCACTCGCCTGCCTACCTGCCTGATTGCCCCTAACCACTTCTGCCTGCTGGCCTGATCACCCCCTAACCACTCCACTGCCAGCCTGGTCGATGCCTAACTACTCCCCTGTCGGCCCGGTTGCCCCCAACTGCCCTCCCCTGCTGGCCTGATCGCCCACAACTGCCCTCCCCTGCCAGCCATCTTATGGCTGTGGGCGCCACCATCTTTGAGGGCAGGGCAGTTAATTAGCATATTCCCTCCTTATTGGCTGTGGGTGCCATCATCTTTGCAATGGTATGAGGGTCAATTAGCATATTCCTGCCAGAGTCTATTTATTGTCTTCACTAGCTGAGTATAGACAGAGACCCCCAAAAGCTAGTAACCTTTGAAGCCCTAACAAAGGTCAGGGCTGTGCACCACCCAGTTAATTTAGATAATGGTAGCTGAAGCATCATCCCCACCTTAGTTCACTTAATTCCTTAGATACTCATGTAAATCCTTGTTGATTAGATATTCTGCCTATTTCTGGAAATTGTCTGCTGATGAGCTAATCTGTGTGTCATTGAAACCTCCTTACCCTAAGGGCTACTCATCCTTCTGGACTTGCCTGCCTGGTCCCCCAATATTTCCAAATTATCTCGTGTCATTTCTCTCTCATTTGTGTGCGGCCCCTCTTTTCAGATCCCGAACCCTAATCCAAGCAGGACGTGGAAGGAAACACACACGACATATTCCCTCTTTATTAGACAGGATATATTGATTTCAGAGAGGAAGGGAGAGGGAGAGAGAGAGAAACGTCAATGATGAGAGAGAATCATTGATCGGCTGCCTCCTACATGCCCCCTATTGGGGATCGAGTCACAACCCGGGCGTGTGCCCTGACTGGGATTCAAACTGTGACTCCATGGTTCATGGGTCAACACTCAACCACTGAGCCACGCCGGCCGGGCCGGGCTGGACATTGTTGAGACCTCCGTCACTGGGTTTTGTGCACATTAAGTCCACGGCACCGAGGGTTTGTCTCATTCCCACCTCTCATTTCTCCCCAGGGCGGCTCTCGGCAGCCCCCGCCCGGGCCGTGTCTGCTGTGAAAAACATGAACCTGCCCGAGATCCCTCGGAACATCAACATCGGTGACCTCAACATCAAAGTCCCCAACCTGTCCCAGTTCGTCTAGGGGTGAAGGCTCAGCTGAACTGGAGGCCTTGAGACCAGCAGAGCCAAGCCAGTCCCACGACAGAACCCACCTGCGCCCGGGAGACAAGCCTCGGACCTGACGCGCTGCCGGGGAGCGGGAGGGGAGCCCTGTGTCACTGTGGAGTGCTCCGTTCTCACGTGCGCAGCCTGGCCGGTCTCTGACGCATGTGCCACTGCAGATGTGAGGTCCTGGCTCCCCTAGTGGGGGGATCAGTGTCACTCACCCCCTCTCCCTCCCACATGCAGCCGTTCCCAGGGTTTGGGGTTGTATTGAGAGGCCCACCCGCTTCCCAGGACCCCCACTAGGACCTTGTCCGACTGGAGTCTTCTTCCTTAGCAGCACGAGGCGTCTGGTCCAGTCGCATGTACTTTTGCCAGTGCGGTGCCACTGCTGGCACAGGGCTGCCCGTCAGCTCTGGGATGTGGTGAGTGGCAGGCAAGGGCCTGCTGGCTCTGCTAGGTTGTCAGCCCAGAGTCCTTTCGTGCGGCCACGCTTTCTGGTTACCCTCCTGCAGAGTGCATCGCCCTGCCATCATCCCGGCTCTGCCCGCACAGACCAGACCATGAGCCTGGTGCGTGCCCACCACATTCCTGCTAACTGGGGGAGCACCCCCACACGGCATCTCTCCAGCCCAGCCAGAGGCGTCCCCTGTCAAAGGGGAGAGGTTTTGTGTCTGTAGAAGCTAAAGGCAGCATATGGAGCATCTCAGAGTTACTACTCTTTCTGGGTTTAAAATACATTGTCCTCACGAGGAGCAGACGGGTCCATCGCTGTGTTATGAATGATGAGTCTTCTTTCTCCGGATGGGAAGCCCACGGCCATCCGAACCAGCTGCTGGAGCATGAGAGCCTGGGCCGGGGCCTGGGTGGGGGCACGGGAAGCGGCTGGCTGAGAGTGGTGGCGGCAGCGTCTTCCGCCCCGTGTGCGAGGGTCCTCCCTGAGCTCTGTGTATGGGCACACCTTGTTCCCGCAGGTGACGTTCTCGCAGAGCTGGCTTTGGGAACCTGTACACAGGGACCTGTGCTCAGAGCCCTTCCCACGGTTAATTTAGAGCTAAAACAGCTCCTCGGAGTGGTGCCATTGCTCCTGCAGGGCCTCAGGTCTCAGGAACGGTGTAGAGCTGCCTTGAGATTAGGGAGCTCACTGCACCATTATGGCGCCCACTGGCCGGGGGACTCAGACTGGTTCCTCGGGCCTCCTGATGCTGTCACAGAGCCCTGTGTCCAGACTACATCTCTTCCCTCTTTAGCTTTTTCTAATTTTTTAAAATTGATTTTTGAGAGAAAGAGAGAGTGTGCAGAAGCAGGAGAGAGAAGAGAAAGAGATAAAGGGGAACATCGATTTGCTGTCCTGCCACCCATTTGTGCATTCATTGGTTGATTCCTGTATGTGCCCTGACTGGGGATCAAACCCGCAACCCTAGCGTGTTAGGATGATGCTGTAACCAACTGAGCTCCCCGGCCAGGGCCTCTTCCCTCTTTGGATGGTGCTTCCCGTGGCCCATTGGTCCTCTGTCTTTCAGATCCTCTCTGGTAACCTCAGAGGTGAGCTGTGTTAGTCAGAAGCCCTCTTACGTCAGAACAGGGGCATGTAGGCGGCGATATCTGGTTTTGAAGGGTTTAATATTTTTACAGACATCTTAGCACATTCACATCCCTTTCTCTCCCGTTCGTTCGTTCGTTCGCTGAGTGTGAAATAGGAACAGAGGGAGGACACCGGTGTTTATTTTGCACCTGCTGGGACGTGGCTGAGCAGGATCCTTCCATGGTCCTTACGGCAGACATCTCCGCTTTCCGGGTGAAGACAGTGGGACTGAGAGGCCAGGTAACAGCTCTAGGTCACACAGGGCTACGAATCGAGCCTGCCGAAGTCCTTTTCTTTTCTGCTGCTCACGATGGCTTCTCCCAAGTGTATCTTTTTTCTTATAGATAAGGGAACAGTCTCACAGAGGTTAAGTAGCTTCTCACAAACATTAAAAACGGGCCTGGTTTTCTGAAGTGGCCGTGGGCTGCGTCGTGGAGTGGGAGCTGGAGGGCCCGCTGTGCCGCGTTGAAGTGATGAGGAAACGGAAGCCGGGGGTTCGGTGTGTTGAGTGTCACAGAGCGACAGCCAGGTCCTTTTTTTATTTTATTTATTTTGTTAATCCTCACCCGAGGATATTTTTCCATTGATTTTAGAGAGAGGGAAAGACAGAGAGAAACATCAATGTGAGAGAAACACATTGTTGGGTTGCCTCCTGCACGAGCCCAACTCAAGCCCGGGCCGGGGAGGAGCCTGCAACCAAAGTACATGCCCTTGACCAGAATCGAACCTGGACCCTTTGGTCCACAGGCCAACGCTCTATCCACTGAGCCAAACTGGCTATGGCCAGGTCCCTTTTCCTGATATGTTCCGGTTTAACGCGTTAACAGCAGGAAGCAGTGTCCTGGCCATCCTGGGATAGTCTTCCGAGGTTTTGCTGCTGGAAACCAGTGGCTCCCACAAGTCCTTGGCTGGTCCTGTAGATTCCACCAGTGGGCACCCCAACAGCACCCCGCACACCGCCCCTAAGATGGCGCACACTTCAGCCCAGCTTTGTGATTGGAAAACTCGATCCCGTTGGGCAAGCCACGGTCATTGCTCATTGACTACTGGAGGTTGCCTGCAAGTCCGGCGAGCTTTCTTGCCCACTGTTGCAAAGTCATCAACGTTTTATGAGTGAAGAGAACCCTCGTGGGCCTGATGTTGGCGAGGGGTAGGTACTGCTGCTGAGGGATGTCCTTTATGGAACGGGGGCCGGGTCTGAAGGTGGGAGTCCTTGGCCCTGGACGGTGTACACAGCATTTCCTAAAGTGGTGCCGAATTCTGGGTTCTAGGTTCTCAGTGCTCCTGCCACCGATCAAAGTCTAAAATCCCGTGATCAAAGTCTAAAAACCCGTCGGTCTGCAGTTTCTAAGTGCCTGTGGGCACCAGCCCAGGTGCAGACAGTGAGGGTGGATGAGGCTCTGCTTCCTACCCTGGTCTCAGTGCTCTGATTGTGGAGCCTAGAGACGGGGACCGTGTTCTATGGCATATTTAAAGGATAATACATTTCCCGCCCCCAGCCAACCCCATCAGGTGCTCCCAGCAGCCTGTCTCAGTTCAAATGGCCATCACAAAAGTGCCACCGGCTGGGAGGCTTAACAGACATTTCTCAGTGCTGCAGGCTGAGCAAGGTCAAGGTGCCGACAGATTCAGTGTCCTTGGGGAACCTGCTGCTTGTTTTCATAGCTGATGGCGGAGATAGGAAGCTCTGTCCCCCGTAAAGGCACCAGACCCATCATGGGGGCTCTACCCCCATGACCCTCACCCAAACCTCGTCACTTCCCTAAGTCCCACCTCCAAGTGCCTTCACCTTGAGGATTAGACTTGAGCATGTGGATCCAGGGGGACACATGCCTTCAGCCCATACAGCACACTGATTACCCCCACGCCCCCTGGGCTGGTCATGGCCCTGTGCTGGTCACATTGAGGATGAGGTCAGAGAATCCTGTCTTCTCAAGTTCCTGTTATTCAGGCCTCTGCCACGGAGGAGCCAGCCCTCCCCCCTCCCTCCCCCACCCCCTCTACACAGCCACCCTGGTGAGGCCCTCTCTGGCCCTGCGACTATAAGTAACACCAGGCTGCTGGCCGAATCCTGTGTTAGGGACCAGCCTTCGGCAGGGTCTTTCCTGAGTGTGGTCTCTGTCCATGGCTTTCCAAAGAGGATGCAGCAGGGACGGTGCCTGAAGGTGGCCATGAGCCACTTAAGTAATGGAGACATGGGGGGGGGGGGGGGTCGGCTCCCAGCGAACATCCTGGCCTTCAGCCTCCAATCCTCTCACTACTGTGGTCATTGCAGCCAAGTGCACCAGCGTGTGTCAGTGCTCACGGGCCGGGGGGCTGCCCTTGTGGCTCAGACCTTGGCCTCGGAGCCTGGAGGTCCTACACCTGCAGCGTTCAGGCCTCAGGTGGCAGATATGCAAACAGGCCCCCTTCAAGGGAGCAGTTCCATGAAAGTGATGAACCTTTTCCAAAAGACTGCATTCTTCCCTATTTCAGTGACCGAGTGGTTCAAAAAGGAAAAACACTCGTGTCGTTCAAAAAGTAAGATAACAAAAGCTGTTCAGCCAGATTCACCCTCGGCCTCCAAACCACTGCACACCCTCCCCATTCCTGGGAGAAGCAAATGTTTCCCATTTAAAGGATTAAGGAGTTCCTGCATTCTTATTGCAGGAGCCTCCCATGTGAAACGGCACCCCCCTTTCTGGCCTTACTCTGCCTTCCTTTTCCAAGGACTGGGCCATACTGGGTGTTTGCTCAGCACTGTGGGCAGATGTCCACCAGCCGGCCAGGAACCTGGGCGTGGGCAGGAGAGGAAGCGAGTGGCCATCCCAGAGGGATGGTCGGAGCCATGGTGGCGAGCGATGTGGCCACGGGATGAGCGGCAAGGGTTGGCCCAGCCCGTGGGGAGGGGAAGTGAGGAAGTGAGAGGAGAGTCTAGACCAGCGGTTCTCAACCTGCCTAATGCCGCCACCCTTTAAATACAGTTCCTCATGTTGTGACCCAACCATAAAATTATTTCGTTGCTACTTCATCACTGTAATGTTGCTACTGTTATGAATCGTCATGTAAATATCTGATATGCAGGATGTATTTAGGCGACCCCTGTGAAAGGGTCGTTCGACCGCCAAAGGGGTCGCGACTCACAGGTTGAGAACCGCTGGTCTAGACAGTGAAGACTTCGGGTCCTGGGAGGACTTTCAATGGGAGGGGCCTCTCCTGGGTGTGCAGCTGCCCCCACCAGGCCCCCCAAGGGAGGCAGCGAGAGGAGGGACTTGGAAGGGTTGGTTCTGGTGGCGGGGTGGCCGTGTGAGAGTGAAGGTCGCAGTCCAGCTCTGGGCACAGGGCCTTGGGACTCCTGCCTCGGGGGGTGCTTGTGGGGTTACACAGGCTGGAGGTGGCCCACCGAGGGCTCCCCCAACACTGGCTGCACCATCACTGGGGTTTTGCAGAGGGAAGGGGAGTCAGTGGCGATGCAATGCGCTGGGGAGTTTGGTACGTGGGCCTCAGGTCCTGGCGGAGGCGGAGGGGGACAGTGGCTGCGGGCCTGGCCCGGCAGTGGGGTCCCAGGCCAGTTGTAGAGGCCGCCTCTGGGTAAAGCTGTGGGGGAAGCGGGTCTCTGGAAGCTTCCCTTACGAAGAGGAGTGTGAAGACAGAAGAGCACCTCCTGATGGTGGGACCAGCGGTGTGGGAGGCAGCCTGGACCTGCCCCCGGAGCCAGCAGGGAGGCAGAGCCCGCGGCCACGCAGACCTGGCTGAGGGTGGGGGTCCTGTAGGCGCTGCCTACACACTGCTCCTAAAAAATGGGGTCTTG